TATAATTTTATATTTTTTTAAAGAATTGGTTTTAGAATAAAAGAGTTTATATAAGATTGCCTAAAGGGAATCTGGTATAAATAATATTAGCAGAATAATTGTAACGGTAATTGCTTCCGAATGAGATTTATCAATTTCTTAAGACAGAAGGCCCTGATTATACGCGGGATATACTCGAGTCAGTTGAGAAAACGAACTCTTCTCCGTTTGTTCCGCGTTCAACTTAATTCGCGCAAATGGAAATGCCTCTCAAACAGAAAGACAGGCATAATTTACATTCCGCGCCGCGGAAAGTGACATATCAGAACTGCAGGAAAATCGCTCGATGTTCTAGTTGCGAGGAGAACCCTCCGACGTTCATCAAATCAAAGCGAATTACATCTGCAGGAGAAACGTTAATTGACCGACTCTTAACACACGCGATTGACATATAAACGACCGCCTTGATACAATAATTATTGGTAATGATGCCGTCGTATCAAGTCGTATTTACAATTACTCTCTAATTAGACTCACACTTTAGTAATATTTGCGCAGTACACATATGTGTTGTACATAAAGAAATAATTTTATATCGTCACGATATTATGCATTTAGTTATTAATATATTATACATTTTCATATATCACTTGTATAATATAAGTCAGCTTTCTTTCTCTACTTGACAATATTAAAATTAAAATTTATATGATATACAATGTTCTTTTGATTTTAACATTTCTAAACCTGTCGAAAGTGTTTCTACGGTATGTTTATTATTGCAAAACACATACAACGATATACATGATTATTTTATTACATAATAAAAGAAAATAACGGGTGTAAATAATAAAATAATGATAATACGACAGAAGTGGACATCGTATAAATGTTTAATCTGTTTCTCTTACTGTTACTGTGTCCAATCATCTGAAAACTACTAGCACATTACAAGAGATTGTTTTCGTTGAAATGAAAAAACTTTTCTATTAAGCGCGTTTTCCATCTACAATTTGCTGAAGAGTTTTCTCTTCGACGGCTCGATATTAATTTGCCTCTTTTTTTTTCTTTTCAAAGGAAAAATTAACGTACGCTAAACTCTCGGAGAATTAATTAATTCGCCGCGACTACAATTTCGATTGTAGGATTTCGCCAATTCGGGAATTCAAGTGCTACCCGCGTATTCTTCGTAACGAAGCACGATTATCCTGGGAAATTCGAATTCTGCGTCGAATCCTCGCCTCTGAATTTTTTCGAGCCGGTTTAATCGCGCGATTAGCTTACGCAGAAATTGAAAGAGAGAGAGAGAGAGCTTGCGTAAATACACAGAAGAGGCAAATCTCTTAACGCATGCGTGCTTTGCGATGAGAATGTGTGATAATTGACGCAATTAATTTGTATATTACGCGTTTCGGAATCTCATAATCAGCCGGTCGTACTCCGTTTCGATATTGCTAACTTTGCTGGATTAGGTTGGCTTATTATATCGTATATTTGCCGGCGGATTTACGCATCGCATTTGAAGTTTGCGAACGCGAATATTTTTGCGAGGATAATGCGCGCGCGGGTTCGCACGCGTTACTTTAGTCCGGTTATTAACTATAAATGGTAGAGTAATGCATTAAGCATGCTGGCACAGCCGAAATTATCCCGTTGTGTAGCACGCCGACGCAACGTGCTGATCTTGATAATGTATTCGTTGCTTGGCAACCGATGCGCGCAATCGATTCGTTCGCGTAAAATCTACGCGCAAGAGGATTAATACGCATGCGGAAAAAGGAATGTGAAATAACGTAATTTGATTAAAATCGCTGCAAAATAATAATGACAAACTCGCGAGAGATTCGCGAATACGCGGGATAGATAAATGAATTTAAGTTCCGAGCGCGTATTCTGCGCCACTTAAGCGCCGCGTATTCGGTCGGATGTCGAGATAATGGGAAGCAAAAAAAAAAAAAAAAAAAAAAAAAGAGTTAATCTCGCGACGCACACTACCCACTTTCGAATCGGTGGCTGCTTTTCGGTAGCGCGTGGAGAGAAGAACGGGGGATTAAAGTACCCACGTATCTCCCAGTGGCTTTCCTCCTTCGAGTTGCGCCCGATTCTCTTATTCCGAGAGTTGATATCGCGGTTTTATGCATAGAAACGTGGCGTGGAAGCCAGGAATCCCATCTTTTTCCGCGAGGAGGGAAGGAGGGAGGGATCTGTGGCAACCCAACCCCGTGACACACTTAGCGTGTATGTCTATCTCCCTCCCCTCTTCACCTCTTCCATCGCTGCCGCGGAGTGTTTTCCCCCTAGAGTGGTCCATATAGCGAATTGGCTGCTGCCCTTTATTTCTCGCAGCCTTTCCATCCCTTTGCCCTCCTTCTTCATTCTCTTTTCCTCTCACGAGCGCGCACCGCCTCTCCCAGCTTGACTCTTGATATATGAATTGTGACGGGGGCTTAAAGGTATCCCGGAGCAAAATTATGGATACGATATTATTTCTTTCCGCGCACACAACACACCACAACGCACGCGTTTATCGTATTACCACGCTCTCTTTTTCTCTCTCTCTTTCTTTCTCTCTCTCTCTCTTTCTCTTTTTCGTAGTTTTATTAAGTTGAAAGTCTTTCGACCCGTGACGAAGTGCTCCGTCGCGCCACGGCGGCTTTGTTTTTTGAACGCCCGTTCTCTGATCCTCGGGCAAATTGATCGATCTTTGTCTATCCCATCGTTTTTCAAACGAGTTGACACAGGAAGGAAACGTGCGTAACGACTATTAAAAATGAAAATTATTCTTCTCATATATGTATGAATGATTCTTGGATTAATTTTGATCGACTCTCGTCTTTTTCGACGATTTTTTTATTCTTGAACTAACGACTTGAAGATTTAATAAAAATTAAACGGCATTGGACCGGTCGTCTAATTTAGCTAACAATGATTAGTATAACGTTTCTTTATAGTGAAAGGAAATTGAATGTAAATTGATGAAAATAATCCGCAAATGAGAGAGGATTTGCGGCAATTCTAATTGTACGACCTTCTGCATAGATTCGTAAAAAGTCACACTTTGTGACGTGATCTCATCCTCGAAATGATTGCGGCCGACTTTCTCTCTTTGCGAATAATTAAAGGAGATTACCGATAATTCGGAGGCAATGTCAAAGCGATGTTACAACGTTGACAAAGGAAATGCAAAAGCATGACGTGTGCATACGTGATAAGCATTCCTCATCTGTTTGCAGCACAGTAATCCTTTGTATGGACTTGCATGTGCCCAACATGCGATTATTCCATTCGTCGTCGCGTCTGATGGAATGTCTACGTGAGAGAGATAAACGCATTCGTAAACCATATATCCACAATGTGGAATTATAATGTTAATCAACTATGACTTTGTAATCTCTAAATTATAATCTTCATTAAATTAGTTGTCATTTTCCGCATATTTAACTTAAATTGTGTACAAAGGACATCGCAAATACAAATACAGAAATATTTCGAAAAGACAAGAAAATCAAAATAATTTGCAATTCTGCGCTCTTCAAATCTGTTGTATTACATTTTCCCCGTTTTACTTCTATCGTATCACAAATTATTTCTCAAAATTCGATAAAGACACTTGTTAAAGTAAAGATAATATCAGAAATACCGCGTGTGTAATAATCGGAATTAAATTAACGCGGCTCGAAAGATGAGTCAAAGATAACAAAACGATAACTGCGCACACTTCGTTATCGAATATACGACCCGTACATGATGTCGTTTTATCGCGACACCCGATGATCCTTTTCATTAACGTAATTTGCCGCTCGATCGTTTAGCGAAGGGGCCGACGCGGAAGCCGCTCGAGAAAATCGAAGACGCAGAGAATTGTCCGGATGAACGAGAGCGCGCGCTTTCGCACGCTCGGTTGACGATGTAACTTACCTTGCGAACCGGCACGGGTCATATAAAAGTATACCGGAACGTCCTCCGGGGACCGGTTTCAGAAAACTGCTCCGTACATACATATATCGCGCGTACGCCTCTCCCCTCGCCTCTTGGGATGCATTCGCGTCTGAGCAGGTGCAGCATTCGTCACACCTGCTATTTTACATCTAGCGAAATCAATTCCGATTGTCGTCGATTCAAGCTGGCTCCGTAACTATTGTTTTGCCGCGTTGCGATTTTTCTTCTTCCGAGAAGAGGACACTTATATGCGAATATCGCCTCGTCTTTTCAGAACAGACGCAATTGAAGAGTTCTTAACAGTTTTAATAAAGATGTCTCCGATCTCTCGAGAGAGAAAACGATTGTCGTACAAAAGATAATCTTCTTCTATAATATAGAATTTGTCAAATTCAACATAACATGACAAAATCTACAAAGAATTCAACGCTGCCGACTTTTCTTCTTTTAATATATTTTGCAAAAATAATAAGTCTATGTTTATCGTGCAATATTTAATATTATTAATATAGAAAATATGGACAATTTTATTATAATATTTTTAATTTGTGCAAAAATATTTTTGTAAGTTCGTGTTTTTAACTTTTAAATATAAAACTTTATTTTTTCACATTTTTGTTTTATGCCAAGGAATTAGTTATATAAAGCTCTTGCACATTTACAGAATGAACGTCGCGATTGTTCAAAATTTCAAGGAAAATATGACCGCCGATATGCAGACAATGTCTCGACCCCCGCACGTTTAAAAGTTTTGTGATAACGGCGCGTATAACTGACGCCACAGTACAGTAACGCTGACAGAGTCACAGAAACTGCAACGAGACACTACCAACGACTGAATCGCGCATTAGAAGCGTGCACGTTTAAGGAGATAAGGAAATTATGGCGGTTAATTATTACCACGAGTACACGTTCGCTCTGAATCTTCTTGCGAAGCGAATATAATTCAAGAGAATTAGAGGAATAAATTAGCAACAATTGGCTTAATTGTTCTAAATAATCGTTTCAATTGTTTTTAGGATCTTCGTGTGTTGTGTTTAGCCAAGTGTAATTTTAATAACTATGAATCTCTTCAAATCGACGCTTTTTTTAAAAAATAAAGAGATTATCGTACGCTCTTGTCATAATCTTTTAATATTCAAAATATATATATTAAATATCTTGAATTATAAAATGCTCAAAAATAAATTAAATTTGATTTTGATTAGATATCAAAATTTTACTTTTTAATTGCGCTGTAAAACTTCAATTTACAAGCTCTTCATTTCTTCAATCGTTTATAACTCTAGAATCTGTCGTGAAAAAATAAAGCGTAAAAGCATCCTGTACACGTAATATAAACGCAAAGCAATAATATGTAAACATTATTCGAAGAGAAGTTACATCCTTAATGTTAAATATCCTCGACCCAAGCTTCATCGAAAATTTCGCTGAAGCACAATAATGAGTTGGAGGAAAAGTTGCCGAGGAATTTCATTACGGTCCCGATCCGTCGCAAATTTCTTCGGAAAATTTCTTTGTAGCAACGACGCCGCATAAATTCAGTTAGCTTCGTTTCTGTTCGCCGATAGAAATTCTGCGAGGGCAGCGCGCCGGCGTAAAAGGGCCGATATTAGAGGGCAAAGTGCTACGCGAGTATCCTGCGTGACTCTGTACTTTTCTTCAGTCGGAGCATTTTTCTCTTCTTTTCGATTGAGCGTCTCGTGAGAGTTTAATAGGGGCAATATAAAAGTTTCTCTCTATACGCGTCCGCCTATCCGAGAAATACGATGACGCGCATTAGCGAGTATTGAAGGAAGCAGCGAGGGGAAAAAGAAAGAAGTGCGAGCTTTTCTTATTTATGGCTTTTTATAGCCAGTAGAATACTATAAGCGTGCACCATTTATTTTGTGTGCGTATAATTACTTATACACATATTAATACTAGTTCTCACACAGTTTTTCCAAAATCAATTAAATTCAAATTGTGATTTTTCTATTTTATATATGTATATGCGTTATATCATATCTTCCTCTTATATGAAAATATTAAAATAGACTATATGTATTATTGCGACTCGAAAAAATTAACTTTTTTATTTTAGAAAAATATATACATATAATTTTAAACAAGTAAAACTCTTTTGATAAAATTTAAATTGATCTTTATTGCAGTTTCGACATGCGGGGGACGCACAGCTTGGATAACGGGAATCACTGGCAGGATCAAAGCCTGAAAGAACGTGCCTTCTTTAAGCACAGCGAACCCGCGAAGCTCGTCTTGAAAACCGTTCGCGAGAGCGACGCGGCTGTTTACAGATGCAGGGTCGATTTCAAGCAATCGCCGACGCGCAACAGCAAAGTCAATCTAACGGTGATCAGTAAGTTTTTAAACGATATTCTACATTGAACCGAATACAAGATGCGCCCGACAATTAAAAGAGCGAAACATATATTCTTTTTTACTTTTTTCAGCAACATACGGCGTGTTCTTTTGAATACGTATTTTTTTTTTTTTTCTCATGGTATCTGATTTGATAATTTCTTGGGAATAAATTCGCGTATGATAAGCAATCTAAAAATATTTAGAAAATACTCCTAATGTACACATGTGTACACATAAAGAATATATTATTTATTTCTGTTAAATAATTTATCATATACTTTACATATCTGATAGTTTGAACTTTTAAAACTCTAGTCGTTGAAATAACGCAACAAAGATTAAAGTCGTAATTTCTAAATTATTTAATAAATAAAAAAATTTCTTGTTTTCTGTATAACTTTTGACAACATTTTTTCGGATGTATTTTATTCGGCGATAATCTTTTGCCGGAAATTCTCGAAAATTGAGTTTTGGAACGTGGGAATTGTACGATATACCGGATTGATCAATTCGATATTTGCGCTTTCCATGCCGCTTTCTAATATAATCGACGCTGTTATCATCGAATCGAATGGATCAATTCGACTATTCGGCTGTTTCGAGCATCTCGCGCGGTCGAAATTGTGCACCGACTGCATTTAATTTTTTTTTTTTTTGCATGGCATAACATTACGTTTAATGGAAGAAGGGCTACGTGATCGTAGCCGATAATACCGGGGCGGATAGATACCGAGCGCCGCCATACCGGTGCATTAAAATTTATTTTTTATCTCAAAAATAACATCCGCTTCTTAATGGTAAAGACGATACGTGACGGCACAGGCTGATACATCGCCGTGCAAATTGATTCAACTCGCTTCTCGCGCCGGCATTTGCATACGGATATTAGCATTATTAGCGATATTACGAATTTTTTCCCACGGCTGGATATAACGTAGTTCCGCGAGAATCTGATTTTTGATAATTTAAAAAAAAAGAAAAAAAACATTTTATAAAAAAATATTTTATGCTTTCTTAATACACACTGACAATTTATTTCTCAATGTCAATCCTAACGGTAATTAGTAATAATTATATTTGCATATCTCTGTTTTAAATCATTTGTTTTTTATATATAAAATTTGGTTATGATATAAAAGAAGGAAGTTTATTGTTGCGGTTGATGTAGCAAAGAGAAACGGTTATTAAAAGGGATAAATATGCTTAAAAGACGCAGTTTTATCTCAATTCTCTTATGCAGAATATATCCGTGGCACACTATTACAAAGATCAAATCAGAGCGAAATTAAAACAATAATTACCACCATTCTCCCAACTTCATTAAGAGTTCGCGTACTAACAACAGTATCTGTGTACGCTATACTTACAATTTTTTCAGCATGTATGTTACGATTTTTCACGTTCTTTATTTCATTTCCTTTTTTTTTATATTTCATCTGTCACATTGAATTAATGAAATCGTACCAAAAGATTTTTCGTGCTCGCGTTGCCAATTTTGTTATTTAATATATTAAACAAGGATTTATTAACTTTATCGTGTAATAGTAGTCGCGCTGCGTTTTGTCTTCTTAGATGACACTAGAATTGATACATTAATGCGCAAATTGATTCACCCGCGGTCTCCGCTCCATTCTACCCTGTTCGCATTCTCAGACATCCCCGAATAAAGGGAAGAGAATGCAGAGAGCTTCTTATTGCGAAAATTATTACAGTACCGCCGGAGCAGCTTAGCATATTGGACGAAGACGGAAGGTCTCATATTCCCCATTACATCCTCGGCCCGTACACCGAAGGAGCGTCTCTCAATCTCACGTGTGTCGCCGCCGGTGGTAAGTGCATGACGCGCCGATGCACTTTCGGTGCATTCGCCTCCCATAACGCTCGGGCGTCTCGTCGTTGCCGTGACTCGCATCAGCACTCGGGTTGCGCGTTTCACGGGAAACAAATGTGCGGCTCGATTTCTTTGACATTTCAGCCAAACGTATTATTCCTCGTGTTGCGTTTTGAATTTCGAACAATGAAGGCGCCGCCTTTATCTTGCCTTACGGCAAGGCAGATATAAGCGTAATAAGAGCGAGACCGCTAGTGTAAGACAAAGATATATATATATATATATACTTTGACGATGCAGGAAATTTGATGAAAATTTTTCGATCATTAATCGAACGCGCAATCATCGAGTATACTAATAGAATTTTACAAAGTTAATTTAAGATGATGTACAACACGTAATTTACAACATTTAAAGTTTCTTAAATATTTCTTAATAAGATTTTTATTATTCCAGAGCTAAGATAGTAATACTTTTTGTACATTTTCTATATTATTTAGGAATATTCTCTTTGCACTTTTTGAAATTTTGGTTTTATTTGTTAATGGAACTTCTCTCTCCGGAAAGTAAACTTTTTAAACCTCGGTCTTTCTTTTAACACGATCTGCACAAAGATTTTTACTTATCATCAAAAATCTAACTTTTTACAATAAATTAAAAATCAAAAAATTAAAAAATGAATGGATTTTTCCAATAAATAAATGTATATTAATCATTTCGTTCATTGATGTTTTTTGAAAATTTTTTGAAAATTATAAATTACGTTTTCTCTGAGAAAGACTTTAGTATAATTTTTATTTCTTTATAAAGATTTCAATTTTATATCTAATCGACTACTCGGAGCGTTAAGTCGAGATGTGATTACACCGAGTAGACGCCGCCATTAATGCAACGAAGTAGCGATGCATATTCGTCGGATCCTGCGGATCCTTTATGTTTCTTTAGGGCGACCGCAACCACGAGTGACATGGTGGCAGGGGACTTCTCTACTCGATAGCAGCTACGAGACCGTGGATGCTAAAAGGGTCCGCAACGTGCTGCAATTGGAAAAGTTGGGCCGCGAGCATCTGCGCACATATCTGACTTGTCAAGCTACGAATAACAACATGATAGCACCGATAACAAGTTCAGTGACGCTCGATATGAATTGTAAGTACCGATTTACTGATGGTTATTGATTAATTCCAAGAATGAAAAAAAGAATACAATCGTGAATAAATTTTATTTCAAAAAAAATTATCTGATAATCCTTTAATAAAAGATTGTACGTAAAGAGATTATAAATGCAATGTGTACGTTATTATTTTCAATTAACAATTGAATGAGTGTATAGTACAATAATATGATATTATATTACTGCATTATAATTATTATTATTATAAATTTCCATATTTACTGATGGTTATTGATTAATTCCAAGAATGAAAAAAAGAATACAATCGTGAATAAATTTTATTTCAAAAAAAATTATCTGATAATCCTATCTATCTAGATTGTACGTAAAGAGATTATAAATGCAATGTGTACGTTATTATTTTCAATTAACAATTGAATGAGTGTATATTACAATAATATGATATTATATTACTGCATTATAATTATTATTATTATAAATATAGTGGTAAATACGGGGAATATTAAATATACATATTTAATTAATTCGCAATAATATGTAATTTATTACGTCATAAATTGTGATTGTGAAAAATATGCAAGTTTCTTAATTATAAGCGATTCGAATTTCCGTGTTAAATTGAAGTATCGTCGCGTATCGATTCTCACGAAACTCTTACCGTGGCGCACCAATTCAGTGTGAATTGAGTTTCTACCGGGAAAATTTCTATTAGCTTCACACGACTGTGCGCGGATCTCGATGGGCGCTTAAATCTGAGTGTGACACACACGCTCTTTTACAGTGAAACCGCTCTGGGTCCGGATTCAAGGAGAGAACCGTCCACTTAGCGCCGGCAAGACCTATGAGATAGGTTGCGAGGTTGTCGGAGCCAGACCAGAGCCGACGATCACGTGGTCCAAAGGGAACACGATACTGCGAAATGCACGGGAAACGGTACGATTTAAAGTAGATTGTCGGCAAATTTAATACACTCTCGTCGATCACATGAGATTAATTCGTCCGGGAAACTCTCTCCGGATGTCCCTGCGATTATTTCTCGATTCATTCTCTGATTTTTCAAAATTAAAGACTGATGTAATTAAATTAATGCGCGATAAGTTTCGAACGACAATTAAAAATTCTTCGCACAAGTATATCACAATATTACAATATATAATACATATTATCTCTGTCATAAAGTATTCGAATTATTTATTAATGTTCATCAGCAGAGCAAAATACAAAGCAAGAAATTTAAATCGTTGTTTTGTCTATAATTTGAGAATGACATTTTTTGTGCAATTTATATTATTTCTTATATTTCTATTATTTCTTATTCAATTTTGTCATTAGAATTAATATATTTATCTGATTATGAGTATTTTTTAAATAGACAAAAGAATGTTTTATCCGAGATGTTAAATAGTTATAAAAATATAAGTCTTGGCATTGAATTCTCGTTTAATGTAAATCCAATATCGGCGAACGGCATAATCATCACCATCTAATTCAATCCGTCACAGACGGCGATTCGATCCCGGGATGTGTATGCATATCGTGATTATTAAATTGTTCGGCAAACTATTTTAAATTCATGAAATTCTCACCGACAGAGGAGTCCTCCTGACGGCAACGTAACAACCAGCGTCCTCACATTCGTGCCGAGTATCGAAGACGCCGGCAAGTTCCTCTACTGTCGCGCCAGCGTGCCAGATATTCCGGACTCGGAGATGGAGCAAGGATGGAAGCTCAATATATATCGTGAGTGTTTTCACAGAAACGCAACGGGGTGTCCCGCAATTTCGCGTCGCGTATGCGACCGCGCGTCGTGCACGGTGGAAACTTCCATCGATGTAATATTTTTACAAGCACATTTCGCATGCATATCGTACGCTGCAAAGTCAACATTAACATTTCAATCGAGAATTCTAACGCCGTTCCTTTTGCTTTAGATCTCGTTGCCATCGGCGAGATTGTTTGCTCGAAATGTAACATTTATTGTTGAGATCGAATCTCTAATATCACATGGTTATGCTAATAGAAATATTTATACAACATATATTATTTCTTATTAATCTCGCGATTAATAAAAAAGACTCTCACTTTGTTTAATTGCGCTGAGAATATTTTCTCGATTATTTATTTCATATATTTTCGACAATTTCTTGTTTCGGATAATATTTTTTAAATTTATCAGCATGCATTACATTAGCGATAAATCAGCACTTATAATTATACCATATATCCGAATTTGGTTTCGTGATGGGGGTGCCAGGTTAACGGAGGTGTCGTTGCGACACCGTGGATGCGCGTCCGCATCGTACTTCAAATTGCAGCCCCGTTGCAACTTTTCAGCGACATTAATACGTAAAGTTGCAGAACGAATCGCCGCGAAAGCGTCGCAGTCAAGCTAGGATTAACGTCGTGATTTCACTGTCTAATATAAAACTTTTCCTCGAGCCGATTCGAGGTACGAAAGAAGAAAGAAGAGACAGAGACTTCGAGTGGAAATTAATGGCACATGCCGATCCACCGTACTGAAAATTCAGTCCGATTTCGCCGTCGCGTTCCCACTACTTCGAATATCTTGGCAGCCCCATTTTCCCGTCTTTTCCGCGAGTTTTTATCTTTTTTTTTTTTCATTTGTCGCGTCCGCCAGTAATTCTATTGGGCGGGGTGGGGCTGTAAAAGCGAGGCGAAAAAATTTACTCGTTTATTGCAAGCGCGAAACGGCGGAATTATCGGATTCGCGATGGCGTTGCAGCGGAAGGAATCATAAGTAACGTTCGATACGCGGCCGCGATTTTTTCCCCCATGAAAAGATAATACCACAGAATGGACCCCGACGACGCCCTCTCGATGGGAAAATTCGCCGCTGTTCGACACAGTTAACCATTTATTTACAACGCGATGTAACACGATGTAATCGAGAAGCAATCGTATTATAGTATTTTTCTTTAATAAATAATGGTTGTTAATCAATAAATTAATGTCTTTAACGATTTTTTACATTGTTCTTTTTCATTGCTTTTGAGTCACATGTTTTGAGGTTTACCTTTAAATTTGACAAAATTAAGGAAGTGAGCTCAAAAAAATTATTTCGCGGATTCGATATAAAATTTACAAATACGATGATTCAAATAGACAGTAGTTTTTAATCAATAAGCCAATATAAACACTAAGATGCATTAATAAAAAATTTCGATTTCCCGCTTCTTTTATCTAAATTTCCGTTTCCAGCATTTTTTAATTTTATTTTTTTATTTTTTCTTTTTATTTTTTATTTTATATTTTTTTTATATTTTTTTTATTTTGTCATCTAGGCACTTATTTATGGCATCTAGACGCTAATAGGCGTTAATTATTGTAATTAAAGCGGCATCTCTCATATTGGTGCATTTCGCGCTTCGGCTTTGATGTTGATTCTGTTTTCAGACGAGCCTGTGGTTACCCTCGAGCTTGGCAGCAATTTGAATTCGAGCGCTATTCGGGAGGGTATCGACGTTTACTTCGAGTGCAACATCAAGTCCAATCCCTGGGTTTACAAGGTTTCCTGGCGCCATAACGTGAGTCCACACCCCGCCGCATAGGGCGCAGATAACGAATCCGGTTCAGAAATCGATAATATAAGCCGAAGCTTAATCGCGTCGAGATAAGGGAACGGCAGGGCGCACCTGCGACACACGATAAACTTCCGTCCGAAAACTCCCGCGTTTGATCTCGGATTCGTATCACCGAAACGCGCTGCGCAGGGCGCATATAAAGCGGTCTTCCCTCGGATAGTAATTAACCTTTAGAGAGGGTTCGGTTATATTAGAAATTTTCTCGCAACTTGAGCATTTCATATTACACAAAATTGTAGACAATTTTAATATTTCTCTTGTCTCAAATTAGGTTACTTATATCGGGGACAATGTATATTTCAGCTTAATTTAAAAAAATAATTTCTGATCCGTTTTAAGGCACGTGCGAAATAATATATATTATGTCTCTTATTAAAAATTAAAAAGTTTTTAACTTTTACCCATTTAAAATCTTTAACGTGTATTGGTATCTTGTGATCTTTTAAAAAATTAATTAACAAGTAGATGCTACAAGAATTACGCATAAAAAATTTTTTTTTTCATATCAAAATAATCCGCGTAATGGGTATAACATTTCTAATGCAAATTGCAATACCAATATCGAAATTTCCACGAGAGCTAATCCATTAGGATCGCATCACTTTATCTGTATTTATTCTAAGTCACTCGAGTACGCAATGTTTTTCTTCACTATTAAAATAATTCGCTTGATTGATACGGGACGAGAATCACAGCGTCGATTTAATTACAGATATATATCGATGCGTTTTATCAACGATTAATAAGAATGCGATTCGTCAATGCCCGAATGTGTTTTAATCCCTTCATTCGTTTTGATCGTTCTGTTTTTATTGATGATAAAGTCATACGCGCGATTGATTTGGAACTGATGGCATGACATAAATCACAGGTATAAATCAAGATATTTCCCGTTGCAATTAAACCATCGGGAAGCAATCGCATTCAATCATTCGAATTTATTTTTAATCCTACGATAGATAGTTCTCTTTTAGTATCATTAGAATCCACATATTCAGAATATTTAGGTAATAGTTATCAAATAAAAAAAAAATTTTTTTCAAACCATTATTTTTTAATCGCTCTCTTTTCTTTTTCTAGCGCATTTACTTGAACATTATCTTTTTTCAAGACTTTTAATTTTCAGCATTAAACATATCTTAATAGTAACATAAATTATAATTACATTAAAGTCTATCTATATATTTTTTTAAAGAGTAAATTGAAGATAAATAATAAGTTAACATGATTACGTTGATTCCATTTTCTAATTGCTAATAATTCAAAAACTGTCGATAAATTGCTTTTGTCGAAAAAAAAATTGTCGATAAGAAAACAGTTGATTTTTGAAAATACATTTAAAAGACATAAGCCAAAAATTTAATTCCTCAAAAATATATGTGTTATGACATTAAAGTTATTGCGAATATTCTTCAAACTTTGATATCCGTTCGAGCCAATTTCGATGATTCTTATCGCGCGAACGAATGTCGTTTACATGGAAACACCGGGGAAACGCAAATCCCAATCAATTCCCTCGGTTCGAGGACTGCAAAATTTGTTTCGCGAAAACTGAAAGCCGCTTTCATCGTCTCGAAAGTCGCGACGAGGGAACGCGAGAGAGATCGAAAAACTGTCAGTGTTCCTCGTCGTGAATTTCTCACGCGGGATTTATTATCGCTTAGACTTTCGCGAGAAGCGCGAATATACAGTTTTCGCGCTTTAATATCGTTCGCGAAAAGAGCGTAATATTAATTTATCCTTTCATTTTCATATATAACTGTATTGCTTATATATATATATTTATTTATTTATTTAGTTATCTATTTATTTATTTATTTATATATTTATTACTTATATTTCTCCTTATTTATTTATCTTTACGTCACTTTACCGATAATGTTTCATCTATCAAAATTTTTTAATCATAGCACAAGAAGCATTTTGGTCGTTATAAAATTCTCTATTCCATTTTTTTGCTCCTTAAATTTACTTACTATTTGTTGCGAGTATAGTCCATTACTTGAATAGTTTATTACTCGCACACTGAACCGCGTGCGCAAGTTTATTCACGGTAGCCGAGTAAACACAACACACCCTCGTTTGATTTCGCATTCGCAGGGCAATCCGCTGTATCACAATCCGACGACCGGAACGATAATAAGTAATCAGAGCCTGGTGCTGCAAAGCGTCACTCGCAGTAGAGCTGGGATTTACACGTGCATCGGCAATAATCAAGAGGGCGACGGCGAGAGCAATCCACTGAACTTGGACATAAAGTGTGAGTATCTGTTACATGCACATACCTACATTTCCCGCATGTCATCCGCCATAATCTACGCTGACGCTCTAATTAAGTTAAACTATTCTCTGTTTATTGTCGACAACAGTCCACGCTCATATCTGAATCTTTAAGATATAAGCGTTTTTTATCTTTATTTGAAAATTTATCATTTTTATTCGAGATATCTAGTGATAAACTTTCTCTGCGCTTTGACGAACCGAAATATCGTCGATATATTTTGTAAAAAATTTGTTACTCTTTATAAATTTGCAAAAGATTGACTCTATAGATTTGTAGAATACAAAGCTTTTCCAGATTTGTATTCGAAGAGCAATTTCAAAGTTTGCACGTGTAATTTCTCTTCAGTAGTCTGTATCTATCGATCGAGGAATAACGATTCTAACCGAAATACCCGGGAATGGAAACACGCCGTGTTGTCTTACGAATCTCTAGAGTCTCTCTCTGGCACTGGAGTTAATTTCTGTGTCACTGCGCGCGCGTTCACCGCACCCTCTGGCACGTAACTGATACTGACACACCGGTATGCGCGGATCGACGTTAAATCAGCTTAGGAGCGCGCTTTGTTTACGAGGGGACATAAATCCGGCGCGTAGACGACGAAACGTCCGCGCATTCGGAGAGAGCGCGGGGTGAGATCTTCCGCTTCATATCGACGTTTAATATCTCGGCATCGCGCACTATAAACGAAAACGAGGTTTCATAAAATCTGCTCCGAGGCAGAGAACCGACCGGCTATAAGTCAATTTCATATGCGAGCATTATAACTCTTTTAAACGTTATAAGCAAGTTTGGACAGCTTTTTCACAGTGTTTAAAAAAGAAAAGATTACAAGTCCGATATTAGTTTCAAACGTTACGAGTTATAAAAGTCGAGATATTATCAACGTAATAGCGCGAGTTATTGTACGATTATAATTAGCGTGGGTTTTATAGAGACAGAAAGAAATCGATAATACGGTCATTAATAATATTTTTACCGTGTCGAGCCCTCTTAAAGAAACTTTCCACGTCATATAAATCATAAGGAAAATCAATAGCACTATATATATATATATATCTCGATAATAAAATAAGGCAAAACTATCGCTATGACGAGAAATCGCCGCCTTCGTCGCGCAATTCGCCAGTATGAATTTATTACAGTAATGTACGTGAGTTGGTCCCTTTTTGCGCACGTTCCAAGGAAAATGTCTTTCACCCCCGTAAAGTTCAGCGAACGCTAAATCACTTCAAACGCTCTACATACGTAGGAACATATGCGTATAACCGAGCTGTTCCGCTACTTAAGTCTGTGTGTTGGTGTGTAACTTACGACTGACTGACATACGCCACCGTTTATACAGCAGCTGCGCTCTCATCAGTATTTAGTGGATTCAATGCACCACTATAAATTATCTACAGCTAATCCGTGCAAAGATTAATAGTTGATCAGTTAAAATATACATATGTATGTGTGTGTATCTACATATCCTCTTCCTTCTCTCCTTCTCTCTTGTTAATGATCATTATACAGAGCGTTTGCTGATAGATCCGTCTGTTAAATAATCAAAAAGGAGATTTTGATATATCTATTCTAAACTTTCAACTCAATTTTGACGAAAGAAAAGATCATCCCCTAAAAGATCGAAAGAAAAAAAAAGAGAGTTAACAAGTTAATGTAATGAAAGAAAAAATATGCTGAAAATATCTAAAACACTTTCATATCTATTGTAAGACCGAGAGAGATGCGATGATCGCAAATTCTGTTTTTAAATTCGCTAAAATCTCTACTATTAATTTCTATAATTTTGCACAACGAATTTCATCGGAAAATTTTGCTCCCCTTACGCAGAATGTAATAAGCAAAAATATAAAAAGAATATTAAAAAATACTGTTCATTTTATCACATTGTGAATGCAGTATGAACAAAATGTCCATTTCTATCGTTTAGCTGTCGTATTTTTGACTTTGGTTGAAGCTTTGACTGAAATTGTTATATCGTTCCGCTAATCTATTCTACTCTGCTGTAACAGCATTATAATAGATTTTATTTTCAAAGAATATACGCGCTGGTAAAAAAGATGTAGAGTGCTCGACGCGCGCTCATCAAATCTCTACCATCAGTCCAATATTACGTGGATTTCTGCGCGCACACGCATTAGGAGACTTTGGCAAAAACTACGAACAAAATTTTGCGTAATTATCCTGGTGCGATTATGTTGGTTTTAATAACCCTTTCGGCAAGGTAAACTGCCGAGTCTCGTGAACGTCGAATGCTCCCGTATAATCCGTATTTTCTTTGTTCTTCTCCGGAATGAAGCCTCGCTATTTTACAGCTAACTAAGCGGCTTAAGATCTTGGATACGGCAGAGTTCGAAGAGAAGGGGAGCTTCTTGCCATGCGCATAATTATACCTGCTGAAACTGAATTAAAATCTTAAGCTACGTTAGCCAGCCGTGCGCACATACGAACTCGCAGATTTTCTGCGTTCGTGACCGAACTCGCGAGATAGGATTCCATTTAAATTTACGCGTCATATTTATATAGCGCGTTATGTATTAAATATATCTTTTAGAATATTTTCCATCAAGAGATTGTGGAAATTCGATCGGAATAGAATTTTCGAGTTAAAGAGAAAAATACAATGGAAACTAAAAGTTAAAATAAAAAGAATTTATATGCAATCCTAATTATTATCAAAGGCAATGTTTTGGGAAAAAATTTGAGCACAAAATACGAGCACGATTCGAAACGCTAAATAACGATAAATTTGAATAATAATATTCGCAGAATATTCGCGAGACAAGCTTTTTGAAAATATTTCAACTGTGCTTTCTAGATGGAAAATGTTTTTAAAAATTCACGATCCGCAATGCGTCCCGGCGTCTAACGTTCTCTTGCTTTGGACAAATCGATACCAGTTTTACAAATCGAGGATAGTCGACGTTTGTATTTTTGCTCGATTTTTGCCTAATTATAGTCCACGCAAAGAGTTTGCGCTTCCGCCATTGTGCTAATTACAAGACAAGCATCACCGTAACAACGTGTAATTAATGCGTCGACTCTAAAAATTCCGACATTCAACCGCTCGTCGAAGTTAACGTCAGACTTAATCAGAAGGTTTTAAACTGGAGCGCGTTGCAATTAAAAGCTATAATAATAATTAGCCAGAAGCGAGTGGTCGATAACTTGCCTTATACATGCCAACTCGGTATCATTCTATACATTGAGATTAAAAGAAAGAAGAAAATTGACGCGCTGCACAGTATTATACAATGTAACTCAGTGAAACGTGATATGCAGCATTAATATAAAACTTTACATAACAGCACGTAAGAAAAAATCGGTTTATTGCGAGCTCTGAAAAAAGATTGTAAATTTTCGAGAGGAACGAGAGAAAATAGCGACTGTATTTGTTACTCGATTGACGGATGACCCAGCGTGTCGTTTCAATCGAGAATATACAAAGGCTTCATACGTCAGATATTTTATTTCTGTTAATAAAAATTTCATGTTGTGATGCGTATAAAATTATTATACTGTTGTCAAAAATGTTTTGTCACCGATCAGTATCGCACGAATCGAACACGTTGAAAGAATAAATGTTACGCGGATACGATATTGTCTCTTTTTCCACCCATATCGGGCAACATGAAGCTATAAAAAAACGCGAATGATATTTTATATATATATTGGATTATTATAATATATATTCTTCACGTATCGTATCGTATTATTATAATAAATATATAGCAGCATATATTATTATTATATGACTAATTATTATAATATTTTATTTCTGCATAATATTTCTTGCAAGACACAAAACAAGCATGCTTGAAATTCCTTTCAAGCGATCTCGTTTTCGTTCGTCATATACGCCGTGGTCTTGCAAACATGCGATCTTTTAGCTGGGCGGTAACGGGCGCGCAAAGTAATTCAGGTCGCTCAAATAGAAATTGCGCGATTAATGCTTAATTACACACCGCGGCAATTTCGCGCGCCGGGACTGTCGCATTTTTATCACGCGATCTATACGTGCGAGCTCCTAATATAAAATATGAAATCCTTCGTTCAACGTGACTCTAAATCGAATGATAAGAAGATTGTAATGGCAGGATTTTGTTCTATTGACTTTTATTAGTTATTTTCTCAGAATCTCTTTTTAATGAATATATTATTCAGATATATGTCAAATTATTATAATACATGTTCTATTGATTTTTATTAGTTATTTTCTCAGGATCTCTTTTTAATGAATATATTGTTCAGATATATATCAAATTATTATAATTCAAAAATAAGGTGACGTCTCGCGCAGAGTAAAATCGATCTAAAGTAATTCTTGTACAATTATTCCTATAAGAATATTTCACAAAATCATCCTTTGAGATTGTCGTGAAAATTCTTTTTTTCTCGCCAACAGAGATCTTTATCAGACGCATGCACTGAATGCGATTATATTTTTCTTTCTATTTCTATCACAATCGTAAATTATGTATTTACATATAAATATAAATACGATGTGTAATTTATACCCGACCCGCATAAAATTTTGAGAAATTTTATACGAGTGTGCGAAATTAACTGGCGACATTTATCCGTAACGTGATATAAAAAGGTTGACACTTTATTTCGGGCGACAACAAAATCGTGCCGATTTATAACAGACTCGATCCGGCGGAAGTAGATACGTACGTCATCGGTCAGCCGGCGTGTTATCGGCGCAATATGCACGCTTCGCTTCGAAATTCGTTTCGCTAACTTTAGATTCCGCTTGTTGTAATTTAATTACGACCGACGGACGGACGCAAACTAGAATGCCGCCACCATCGTCGTTGTTGCCACGGCCCGACTGCCATGAAATACGTCAATGAATTTATCGCAGCCGCCGACCGGACATTTATTCGCGCTGCAAAAGTGAATTCGATTTCTCCGCGCCGGGCGTTTTGATTTATTCGCCGTGATAGATTGGATAGATTATGTAGCACAGTCGCGGCGAAAAAAGCCGAGCCAAGACGTCGCCCGGATGGCGAGATCGATCGATATGTAACGTCACCCATCTGTAATCCCCTTAACAATACGCCGCTAACGTTTCAGAGAGATCCGCGGCGAAATTCTTCGAGAAATTCTTCAGTTCTCTATATATACCCGAGGTTTTTTATTTTCTTCAAGCTATTCTCTCGAAGAGACGGGGAGAATGCGCATCTTATTAATTACACACTGTATTAATATCTCGCGGTATATCTCGTGTTGTAGAGGATACACACGCGATAATTACGCCGCGCCCCGAAAATTCATCGGTCGATAGTCGCGATTCCGCGCAGCCGAGTTCGTTAAACGCTTGGATCAATCGACGTATCTCTAATTACGATAAAATTCTCTATGGGATTCCCGTAATCTCGAGTATTTTCAGAATGCTAGGCGCCTTATCGCACCGCCGATATATCGTGCCAACCATGATGACCATCGCATGGCGATACGAACGCAAGATACGACGCTCGATAACGCTCCGTCGAAGATCTATCTATCGATCGAATGGACCGGGGCGTCTAACTGGGTCCATTAACGCCAGCTAATTAATGTATCTGATTAAGCAAGGCATCGACGCACATGTATCATCTCAAGTCCCGACCACGCGCTCGATCCATATATAATAATACCTCTGATATCTGAATATATAGAGTTCGACCGTATTGCCCACGTCTCTCCGGCATAAGCTATGCGAGAGCATATATACATCGTCGCCACGACGCGGGCATAAATCTTCGTTATTTGACGTAATGGCCATTCGCGCGCGTGCTACACACACGCGTACACACACGCGCGTCGTAGATTATTATTATTATAAATTTCCATGACGCATACACGGCGACGTTCTTACGAATTTCAGCGCCGGGCGCGATGTACACCGTGATTGACGAAGATTCACGACGCGAGTACCGCGAACGTAAAATAATACGGTCGCGCGCGCCTTCGTACTCTATCGGCCTGTCCGTGTGTGTAAGGATGTGTCCCCGGAACTAATGTACCGTTAAATCTCTCAAGGAATCTGTCACCGGCAGAATATTCGATAATTCTTGGCTCGACACGTTCCACCTTTTCCCCCTTCTACGTGTGTTCTACGAATTGTATTCGCTGTTAAACATTTGGAAAGACTTTAACGGACTATCGAGCGTAAGTTTACTTTCGTTAAAACCGAGAGGAGATACGTTAAACGCTCGTTTTATAGCGAAACCTCTTGTTTTATGTAGCAGATAAGGTGCAAAATTATAACAGCTCTAAATTTAAAATTTCATTGGCTCTTTCAAGTTTTTAAGCCTTAAATTGTCAATGGCCCTTTTCGCTGGATTTTTTATTGGGACTTTTACGAAAAGAGATTGTAGAAAAGATAAAATTATATTTTATGCAAATAACTGGAGTTATTACAGTTTGAGAAAGACAGAGAGAAATTATCATATTGGGGGAGATACGCGTTTCTCTCAGAAATGGAATCATTAAAAATAGATTAATATAATTCTGTATCAAATCTCTTACAAATGTAATTTAAAATTCCAATTTTCCAATCTAACACGCTTGGCATTAAAACATCCTATAGTTCTAAACTAATACTTAAATATTTTATACCGCAGAGATAAATTCGCTCTCGCATAGATAATCGAGATAAACTCGTTCGTATCTCCAAATAGAACAAAAAGCAAATCCTCTGTCTCCCTTCCTTCGTTTCTACGTGTACGTCCGTGCGACAGATCGACGTGCATTTTTCACGATGCAGGCGATATTGCGGGCCCGTGAAATGAATTATGCATACACGACACAGATATCATTTCGATAGCCGGCATGGACATTCAGCATGAGCGATCTGTCACTGATGCTTAATGACTAGCATTAATTGGTTATTGTCAGTGTCTCGGCCATTGATCCTGTATCCCGCGATATCTCCGTGCATTCATCCTCCACGATCATTTGCTTTTATTCGGGAGAAAATACTTGACGCTGACAAAGGAGATCATTTAGATTAAAAGTCTCCACTTCAGGAAAGTTCAATCCAATTTTTAAAAACGAAAAAATATGCGCCTGCTTTGCGCGCGTGCCAAATTTAACCATTCCCGACGATAAAATCTGCATTTTGCGTTCGTAATGTTATGCAAGTCCATTTCGTTGATGCATATATCGCGAAATTTTCCCTCTGATATCTCTGCTTTTAGAAATTCGAAATTTCTCAATACACTTTTATTAATTTATTAATAAAATTGATTTAGCTTATTAATTAAAATTAATTTATTTTCTAAATAATAAAATAAAATAAAACATTTTATATTTTTGAAAAAAAAATTGTGATGACAAGAGTTCCAAATAAAAGAAGCAAATCTCAAACATTTATGTATGTCATTCAAGCCAATCAATTATTGAAGCTCACTATTACTTATGTATCGTGTGATATTACACGATATCGGTGTACATGCGAGAATGTAAAATCACGTAAGATCCCTTCCAATCATACAATCGCGTAGAAACTCACGATTTTTATCGTGACCTTTATGGCATCTCTAAGACATTTTTCGACTATCGTCATAAGAGAGGACAAAGGTTTCGTCTCTGCCGTATAACACTGCGCGACCGGTTGGCTTGGCAAGATGCGGAACATTCCAAGCATCGCCAAGATCGGACTTCTTTCGACAACTGTGCAAAGTACAAAGGGGATGCAATACGCGCGGACACCGGATACCGTTCGGAATTTTATGACTGATCTAATCAATGAAGGGTCCAGTCTCGTTCTATATGTGCGCCGGATATATCCCCGCATGCTCTACGACCCTCCACTTCCACGTCCCAAGTATTATTGAATTTCCCGGACGAGAGGCGAACTGGACTTCCGCCCTGAGTCGAGGTCGCGGGGGATCCTTTGTCAGCTTACACCGAATATCTTCTTTCGTCTGTGGAAGTGAATGTCAATTGCAGAAACTACCGGAGATAAGGATCAATCGCATGCCTCCGGGTGTATAAAACGCGCTCGCATGCGTCGAGACGCACTCTTTCGCGGTTCATAGCGCAAGCACAACTGTTTCAATTTTAATCACATTTTAATTGCATTTCGATATCTCGTGAACGCAAGGCGGTTTATTTTTCTCGCTCAAACATATGAAAAAATAAGTCGATGAGATGTATGTATGTATAAATATTTCAACACTAAATGCATTTATTTCATTTATTTGCACTATCGCATTTTGTTCCATCTCTCAAAAAAATTACTTACATTTGAACAATATTTTATATAACGTGTTTTTCTTCCAAAGATGTACAATCAATCATTTGTCAAGTGGCTCCAGAAAAAATATATAGTAATATCCTTCATAGGAGATTATATCATAAAGTGCCTCTCAGAGGTGCGTGTTATATGTGTGTGCTCTTCTTATCTTTTTTTTTTTTTTTTTTTTTTATATATAATACATCCTAAATCAATCTTCTTCTCTTATATATAATATTTTCTAAATAAAATTTTTATTTTGATGAGAAAGACGTAAAGTTTGTTACCGTCGTTTTGATATGTTGGTATGTCGTGGAAAAATTTTTCAACACTTACGGAGATGTCTTAAACTTACTTACGCAGTTCCTTCATCATCTACGCGAATCGCGCCGCGGAGTAACTCGAAAATGTGCTCTATACTTTTTACTTTCTACAGCATTAAAAAGACGTATGCAGTCGGAAACTTATTTTCTTACCAAGTATAACGACGTACTTTCAGTTGCCGTGAATAAAACGGAATCAGCGGAGAATATAATGGAGGAAAACGTTGTTCGAGAAAGCGTACGCGAATTTGCTCCCCATCTTTCATCTGAACAATGAAGACATGCTCTACTAATGGTACACTGTTGCAATATGTAGATTACAGAATATATACATGTATATTGTGTATTATGTATATTACGAGACGATATCAGATACCGTGTCGACTGAGGTTGACATGAACTCAGGGGCGGGGGAGAATAGTTCTACGGACATGAATTCCATCATTAATGCTTAATTAAGGGTAGTGCTTAATAATCGCGTTAGCCTTCAGCGGATATCAGATTCTATGTATCGAACATCCCTCCTCTATATGTTGTGGGATCATCGACGAAAAGATCCGATCGCATTATTGGAGGATATATCTGTGAAGGATACTCGTCATGAGGATACCAATTGTACTCTTGTTTAATTTTAGAGATCATGGTTAAAGCGTCATTAATTCTCGGATTATATACATCGAATCCCGTTCAACTTTGTTTCATGTTCGCATTTTCGAGGTATAATTTGCTAAGCCCTTTCCACCTCCAATGTCAAATAATTCTGTTGATATTAATAACCCAACATGAAACTCTAAGCTATTATTATTATTATAATCTCTAATGACTACAATCGAGAGCTGGAAATTGATACCGGGAAATAGATTATACACGCATTTCCTCTTAAATGTACCAATTTACCCAGTATATTATTAATCTTGAATAATATTGGAGCACGCGACGCGTATCGAGCGAAACCAAGTGTGATTCGGTGTTTCGGTGAATAATTATTTATCCGCCGTTTATTTATACACTCGCGAAAGTATTGGCTTGTCTACGTATATATCCTCAACGCGCATTTTACATTTACATTTTACAGTCGCGCCGGTATGCCAGCACGGCCAGACGAGGGTGTTTGGCGTGGCGAAACATGAGAGCGCGAATATTCCCTGCGAGTTGGAGGCGAACCCGCCGGAAGTATCGTTCACCTGGAAATTTAATAATACGATGGAAGCGGTGGACATACCTCAAGCGAAAGTCATCAGCGACCGTACGCATTCGACGGTCTCGTACGAACCGATTAACGAGCTGGATTATGGCACTCTCCTCTGCTGGGGCAACAACGATCAGGGCAGTCAGCTGGAGCCGTGCGTCTTCCATATCGTGCCAGCCGGTAAGTGCCAGCCCGATCTCTTACGTGGGTTTCTTTGAAAAATTAAAGCGTTCGTTCTCCCCGCGCGTATATTTTAAATGTAAGAAATATATAGATGCGACGTGTAGCTTCTCTATGTAGATTTTATTGCGATACGTCGAAGGCGATGCTATATTACCGCATATAATACCGCATCAAATGTGTAACGTATCTCGCAAAGCCAATTACTATATATGTAATCAATAATTTTGCAAATATTTGCACAAGCAAATGTTTAAAGCGTGATTAATTAATACAATAAATGGAATATATCTCCCCGAATTTAGTCGTAATCGCGCACCGCATTTGAATTTTTACATTGAAACCACGTAAATATATAAATTGCGCGCGATGTGAATTACAAAAATTAATACATGCGACATTCAATGCTTTTATATGACTCCACAATATCGCTGATATTATCATCGTCGTCGCGAGTGAATAAATGAAAAAATAGAATGAAGGCGGATGAATATTTCGATGGCATCGTGACCACGACACAACTTATTTAAAAGACAGCAATCGATTTCTCGGTAGACGAATGTCGCACCGTTTCGAAGTTCTTGGAAGGTGCATTCAATAGATTCGATTGCATTTATTTTCCCTGTCGTCAAGACACTATCATCCGGCATCCGATGAATGCAATGTCCTGGAATCCGTTCCGTTTTTATCGAATTATCGGCGTCTCAATAAACGTTAAAGGAGATCTAATGCAACTTCAAGAGAATCAACTATGCTTTCTCGAGTTCTTGCTCTGTACCTTGTAATTAATCTTGTATTAGTAATCTCAGAAGCTACTAATGTAGCGGTAAAGAGGAAATAATATTCGGGATAAGAGAGAGAGCTCCCTAGTAAACATAGGTCCGTAAACCAATCGGTTAAGATAACACACATCTGTTATCGCGGCTGCAGGTATATACACTAGCTATTACGACGCTATTATCGTAAATGACAAAACATATTTCAAGATTAATTGGCTTAATTGAATTAAGTATATTTCACTTATCTCTTTTGATAAATTGTTTTTTTTATATTATTTTTTCCGAGAATCATGATCGAGCCGCGATTAAGTCGTCTACGATGTAATCTTATCAGACGATTCATAAGTAAGTTTCGAGCGATGCGATCATTCCGATGTGCGGTATCATCAGAGATTGGAGGAAATGTTTCAAGGAGAAGCTTCGCGATTCGAGTGGAATTCTGATTTAGCGATGGTGACGACAATAATAAGACTAATGATAATAAACGTTAACAACATCATAATATCATTAATAATCGGTATCAATAGCCATCATGTAAAAGATTCAGAGACATTTTTACATATCATTGACTGATTCAAGTATGCCTTCCAAATATTTATCAAGTAATTTTTCCGCGTTTGCATTTTATGCGTTGGCTTTGAATCTTCGAAATATTTAGCTTTATACAAACTTTATATTTGTTATCGTCGCAAAAGCCTCGAAGCATTGCCTATAAGTAGTTCTCATATTTCATAACCACGTTATTCTTTCAATATCTCATCGACTATATAAATTATCGAGTGACTCTTGGTTCCGATCGTGCCAATGACATCGTAACAATATCGCTCGTATACTTTGCCACCGCGACGGTAAAACGACACATCGCGTCGTAAATGCACTGGGAATATAAACCGGAAAGTGGAACATATAAAGGAAGCATCGTACAGAGACGGATATTGCTTATGAATCGATCTAAATATTTTGAGCACTGCTCTCGCTACGCTGCACGGCCTTGTTGCATCGTAGAGTTCGTGTGAACATCGTTGATCCTCTCTCTCTCTCTCTCTCTCTCTATCTATCTATCTCTCTTTCTCTCTCTCGTGCAATAACATCGTAACTCGATTCCAGCGGCTTTTTGAGTGGCCGCGTGAAAATTTTGCGAGTGTATTGTGCCCATAATATACATGCATTTGTGCTGATTCGCGCGAAATCATCTAGGCAATTTGCATCGCATACTCCTTTAAACATTTCTCTCGTAAATTTTTTCATAGGATAATTCGTTAAATACAAGATCCATTTTAAAACGAGTAAACGCAACTTTTAGTTAAATATAATAATAGTGGAAATATATTTCGAAGAGAACTTTATATGAAATATAATTAAATAATAATTAAATTATAAAGTAATAACATCCTTCTCTTTCATGTAATTTGTTAATTTCCTTGTAGTTAGGAGAAGAGGATCAAATAGTATTTGCTTAAGATATTCGCTGATGATAATGGAATTAATTGTAATTAAATTAAAGATGTGAGAGGGATAAATTTTAATTAAGGAACTCAAAAGTATTTCCTCCAAAACAAACAAATGAAATCGACTAAACATTATCATAATATGATATTAACTAAAAAGATATCTCGTCAATAGCGTTTTCATCTAAACATTCCGCGTTTAAAATTTTCCATAAATATTTTGTATAAAGGCCGGAAAAGATATTATTTTAATAATATATACGTGAAATGTTTATCGTATGAAATTTTTCTTGTAAAACACATGTACACGTTTGGAGAGACCATATTTCTTTTTTTCTTTTTTTTTTTTTTTTTTTTTTGCGAGTTACGATGATATTGAATCCATTCGTTTGTCCGAAAATCCGCGACTATTTCAGCAAATGACGGTATCGTCTTTTTACTTCGATCAAAGCATTCGTATGCCATGTGATGTAAAACTGTAATCGTGTTAGAGTTTCGTGTAGAGGATTGCATCGAAATTGTGTAGCAGACATTTATAAGATGTGGATTAGAGATGCATACATCGACACACGGCACATACGGCGCATGAGATCGCTCGTCGTCAATGACCGTTTCGTACTTTCTTAAGCATTTCCATCACAATGTCGATGACGAGAAATATGCCACTCGAAATATTTACGCAAGATAATTGATAATGAGATTGCACGCATCAACACTACACGCATACTGTCTCGAGAAGGTAGATGCACTTATTTTACGGTGTGATTCTTACTCTTTAATCGAAATCTTGTAATTTTATAAATCTCTTGCTTATTCAAATTCGTTGATAAAATTATTCGTATACAATTATTTTTATTTCACAGAAATCTGTTATAAATTTAATGAAGAGATAAATAACTCTTCCAAAACATTTGTCAGCAATGTTCAATCATTATTCTACCATTTTTATTATTAATTAGTTTGATTCGAATAATTTAAACGCAAATTATATATATCTCAGCATATAAGATGGGACGCATTTTGCCAAAATAGCCTTGTACTTTTAAATTCGTTCGCGTGGCGAGAAGTCCATTCTTGGTAGTAGTTTCACGCTGCAACCCCATTAAACAAATTTCACGACCTAATTTAAGCGACGGTGCGACCCTACCGCATTCTTCTAACTAATTGCTCACGATTAACCCGCTGGCTGGCACGTAGACGGACGTTAAACGGCGTTACGCGCATTAATAATGCGCGGCTAATAGGCAGCGCGCGGTGGCTGCGGAACCCGGTCGGCGTCGTCGTCGTCGTCGTTTATCCGCTCTACTGCGGCCCGCCGTGCAGTGGATCGTGACAGGGAGGTAAACCAGACTGTAAAAGGCTTTCCGTATTTTGCGTCAGCTGACCCTCCTTTGTTACAAATCGCCGTTCCTTACGGTACGCTCGCACGATTTATATCCGATCCTATCGCCATCGTCCGAAAAAAAAAAAAAACAGGACTCGGCGATACGCGCTATTTCTGCAAAGAAGAAAAATCCGATTGTCCGACTATTACGAGGTGTTCCTTAAATGTTTGGTCGAATCTTTGCGTAATTTTTCGTTTCGATGAAATAATAATATCGCACGAAGATAGGAATTTTTTTTCTCGCGAAAAGGGAACTAAAGGTCTTATACCTTACTAATCACTTGTGTATCCTCTTTTTTAGATTTTATAGAATTCGTCAAATTTTTTTAGCGGTTTTAACATTCGGAAAAGAGACACTTTGCCCGGTATAAAAAGCTATGGACTGTGTTAAAGGACTGCACGCCGTCGAATGGCAGCTCTCGAGACGATAAAAATGACAAAAATGTGCGCACGGATCGGTTCTTCCCGCTTGATGAGTGGCAGGTATCGATTGCGTTTTGACGTTTTGCATTAAAATACGTCGGTGCGCGCAGCGTGACGAACGATTGGCACATTTCATGGGAAAATCCATCGGCGTGATCGAGCTCTCTCGAAAGAGACCGCGCATCGTCGAGCTCGTGGAAACGCGAGAACGCATTACGGTGGAATAATATTACGACTGATTAAGCTTCGTTCGGGTGCGCATATCTTGATGATCCCTCCGCAGACTCCAATCAATTACGAGTGAAACACCGAGAACCTTCGCGATCAATCGATCAGTCTTTTTCGCAAATAAATCCAATTCGAGACAATCCCCGACCAATCACAGAATTTAAGAAAAATTAATATGTCGTGAAAATAAATGTTTCACTTTCAACTGATCAAAACATTCCAATTTAATTCAATTGTTATATTTATCGATTATTTCTAGCAACTATAATAGACGATATTGTTTATTCTAAAAAAAACTACGCCTTATCTGTTTTCAAATGCTACGACGATTAGGAATTCATGAAATTTTAGAAACTTGCAAAAAAGTATTAAATTTTTTATAATAAAATGGCAAATTCTTATTCAATTCCTTCATTTCTCAGATTTATAAATCGGAACGCTTTTGTTCAAAAGACTTCGTCAATATTTCTTCAAGCACAATGTGACAGCTCGTCGATTACGCAGATTATTATTCAAAATAAATCTACTAGATATCGCTATATTAGCATCAACTGTAACACTATTTATCCAGCATACCATCACACATTAGTGATATCGAATACTAAACGCCTTAATAAGTATTCCCGTATTCATCGTATTCATCGTACATATAAATAAAACGAATCTCGATCCCGCGTCGAAATCACCCTCGGCGTCCCGGAACTACCCCACGCGCGTCCCTATGAAGGTCAGTTAGACGAAGGCTGAGGCTGGTGTGTTGTGCCACTTCCGGTAGCAGGTGAAAGACTGGCGCAACCCCCCTCGCCGGAGAATTGCACGATTCGGGAGGAGAGCCGGACAACGGTGAGGGTGAGCTGCGCCGAGAGCGAGTACTTCGACGCGAACACGGCCACCTACGTACTGCAGGTCTTCGACGCCGACACCAGGCGTCTGCTGGCATCCGCGACTAGCCTGACGCCGAGTATGCTCGAGGTGACGGATCTGCCCGCCGACAGGAGTCATTCCGGCCTCGTGCTGTCCCTCAGGATCATGACGGCGCACGCCATGAGCGACGCCACGCTCCTCCACAGTCCGCACTTTGTACCGGAGGGTAATACCCAGGAGCACCAGCGTTACCCAGGTAGGGCCCAGATACACAATGGATCTCGCTCCCCGCCCCCCGCCCCCTCCCCTCGCTCTGTACATTGTGCGTCCCGACGCGATAAGTCCCTCAATCTAAGCAATAGCAACGTTGTCGGTCGTTATGATCGAGCGAACCACAAAGATCGATATTCTCGTTAATATATTTCAAATTGTTTCGGCTAGATGAGAAATATTTCTGGAGAAGAATATTTTCGAGCGCGATCGCGAGAATCCGGAACGGATAATGATTCGTGCTCGCGACGGCTGATGTGCGTTTTCATCCGTGTTTCGTTATCGTTTGAATTTATATACGCTCGATAGTACCGCCGTTTTTCAAATCTTCTTTTTTTATAACGGAAAAAGAATATATAAATAAAATAAAAATCCGACGCATAGTAAAAAAAAAAAAATATATATATACTGATATTATATTAGGAACAGATAATCTAGAATTTTCATATTTTGTCCAAGTAGTTTACTTGTTTTAGTCTTTGCTTGTGTGATTCGTTCTTGTTATTCGTATATTAATCGTATTATCGCTTATTTTATGTTTTTATTTATTTATTTATTTTTTTATTATTTTTTTGTCTTAAACTGGCGAGATAATACTATTTGCTAAAATTTTACGTAAGATAATTATTGATCTTTATTGAGCTCGTTTTCTTCGCGTAACATTATAGAAAGAAAATCTTGAATCTTATTTTCGCAGAAGATTCACAAAACCATCCTTAAACGGGTCCTAATATCTTTATTTTTGAATAGAAAATAAATTTTGTCTTTATTAGTCAAAACGTTAATCAATATTTTTGTACATCTATATTTTGAATCAATGGAAGAATGGATGTGATGAACGTTTTATGACGGAAAAACGTATCATCCGAAATTGTGCTACGCGTAGCTGAAACAAGCTAACATTCCGCATGGCGCGACTCGTTCGCGATGAAAATGTTCAATCACTGGAAACCACCCGACGTGTCAATATTCCGGGAAATTCATCAGGAAGTATCTCAAAATTTGCATATTTGCTTTGCGCACACGTACTATAAATTTTTTTTTTTTTTTTTTTTTACCCACAACCATCGAGAGGAACTTGAACCGTCGAATTAAAGGCAATCACTTGGGAATCCCGCGATTGACTTGTAGAAATATTGTTACACTGTTCGTACGACACGGTCAGATCTGCATGCGCCAAATTTGCGTTGTCGTGAAAAGAGTGCAATTCTCTATTATGCTTTACGGTCATTGTTGTGGAAAATTTTGCTTGTTTCTTGATTAAACTAATAAATATGTATTCTGTTATAGCCTCTAAATTAGTTGCTATTGTATTTTGTTTTTTTGTATTTCAGTTTTCGCTTGCAAATTTTTCCCGCATGTGTATATGAGAGCGTATTTTTATTAATTTTCTCCTATCATATACCGTTTAAAATATAGAAAAGTAGATATACAAATCGAAATGTATTGCTCTGATGTTTTTGCATGTTAATTAATTATAATCTATTTTTTTAATATAAGATTTTAGCAAGCTGAATAAAAAAGGTATCGTCTGTTTTTGCTACGATGTCTCTCTCTCTCTCTCTCTCTCTCTCTCTCTCTCTTATTATTATGATATTATATTTAATTAAAAACATCATTTAAAAAAGCGTGATTTCTCATTCGTACTCAAATACAATAAATAACTTTGGTTGCAATACTTTTTACTACATTGTAAAAGTTATTTATATATCAAATTTTATTTAATAAATAAATTTAAAAATTTTGAAACATTATCTTCTCCATTTTTCACTTGTGTATTAATCGCGTTTAACACGTAATATAATGAAAGGATGCTGAACGTAAACGTGGCATAATATTTTTACAACGTAATAAAGACATAATATCAATCAGTTATTTCGAATTAATTATGTACTAATTAATTATTTCCTAATTTTATTACTTACTATACTTATTTTTCGTTACTACTATATAATATCCCTCTTTTTCTCTCTTGAAAATATTTTATATTATTTCCATGTATGTTTATTTCATATCTTATCCATAATAAAAGAACTAAACGAGAATGTTTATTAACTTTATCAGATATAAACTTTGTATATCATTAAACTAATAAAATTTGTATCTCAAAATACAATAAGATAGAATAAATTTCATATCGTTAAAATCTCAATATTTTCAACAAATTTTATCGTACGGAGCACTGTTATAAGCTCAAAAAGTGCCTCTTTTGTCAAGAGTATTATCATAAATACATCCAATAATCTCTCGTCTTCTTTCTTTGTTTGTTTAGTTTTCGCGATGACACTCACGGCAGATCGTTTACATAAACAGTTTGTCTCCGTTACGCTAACAAACGGTGTATTTTGTACCCGATAAACACGATGTACTCGAGCTCTTAAACGCGATTATGCTATTGTATTACACTTTCCTCGCCCGCGCTTATATATATATACAGCGATATTATAAACGACACTGTGAAGATAATACGGCGCAGATATGCTAATCGAAGGTCTCGCCGTATTCTTGGGCGGAAGTCGGGCTTACCTCGTCGCATCCTGTGAACAGTTAGCACGTACACGGA